AGGCTGGGGGTGCACAAGAAGCTGGGAGGGGACACAGCCGGGACAGCTGACCCCAACTGACCAAAGGGATATTCCACACCATATGACGTCATGCTCAGCATATAAAGCTGGGGGAAGAAGAAGGAAGGAGGGGATGTTCGGAGTGATGGTGTTTGTCTTCCCAAGGAACTGTTAACACGTGATGGAGCCCTGCTTTCCTGGAGATGGCTGAACACCTGCCGGCCGAGGGGTAGTAGTGAATGAATTCCTCGTTTTGATTTGCTTGTGTGTGTGGCTTTTGCTTTACCTATTAAACTGTCTTTATCTCAACCCACAAGTTTTCTCACTTTTACCCTTCCAATTCTCTCCTCCATCCCACCGGGGGGAAGTGAGCGAGCAGCTGTGTGGTGCTTAGTTGCTGGCTAGGGTTAAACCACAACAGCAAGGAATTGCATTTTTTTAAAAAACAGTTGATTTTAGAAAATTCATAGAGGACATTGGTTTGTGTATGCCATCTTGTGATAAAAGCTTTCGCTTGCAGTGTAGCCTGAAAAGGATGGTACCTCCTGCTAGCCTATCTCTAATTAGCATGGAGGAGGGGAAAAAAAAAGGGACCTTTTAGTAATTCAGTAATCTGGAAAAGTAATTAATTGACTAAACAGTATGGAATGGAATACGCCCATTGTTCGTATACTTCAATTTCCTATTAGAGGTCTCCAGATACTGAAATCCTCTAATTTATTTAGAGTGGGCTCATTTGTGCGTTGTTTACCTCATGCTCAGCATGAAGGGATCCTGCAGTGAAAGGTGAACTTTAGTGTAATACACGATTTTTGCAATCACATTGAAATTTTGGCTCTGTAAGGAATATGTATTAAGAACAATGATAGTAAGGCAGAATCTTAAATGGAATATATTAAAGAGGTGTATGTTCTCCAAAGTCAGGGTATTGATTCAGCTCATATTTTATAAAAGTATTACTCTCTTCTTTCATCTTGCATCTTTCTTGCACTGTTCTTCGTAAGAAATAGCACTTCAGTTTTCCTTTCTAGTGTGCTTGTAGTACTGTGCACCACTAGTATGTAAGGTTTTTCCACATAGGTGACAAAGTGTTCTTTTTGGATGAAGGCAATCCCTCCATTCTTCCCCCTGCTAAAACGCCAAAACGCCAAGCCCTTTTTTTTTTTTTTTGTAATGGCAAATTGCTTTGTTATAGAACGACCCAGATATGCTTTAGTGGATTTGATAAACTTCAATTCGTAATGTCAAAAAATATATACGTTATTGCTTGCTTTACTTTACTATATTTCTCCTTATTTTGTGACCATCAGAGTTTCTTTTCACCTTTCAGAAAACGGGGCAGTACTTGAAGGCTTGACAAATGCATCCCAGGTTGAAAAACTGCTGCATTCCTCCTCCTCTTCCTCCTTTAGAAAACTGACTTCTTTAAAGAGGTAATGTTGAATGTTGCACTTTCTGTAGAAAACTTCCCCCCCCCGCCTCCCCCAGGCAAAGTGAACTAAAATTCGACTTCTTCTGTAGCATGTCCTGTGGTGTTTTAAATTAACTTATATCCATGTCTCATTCTGATGACTGATGTCTGTTCCCCTATCTATTGAAAAGGATGTCTTTGGAAACCTTTGTTTGCAGAGATCTATTTTGTTGTGTTGTGTTGTTTTATAGAATTATTTGTCAGCGCTTCTGCTGAAGTAAGTCACCCAAGTGTTACTTGAATTTAAATTAATCTAATGTTATTTCTGAATCTGATATCTTTTAGGATATTTAAACATGCTTTAGAAATCTGAGGCAGTTCCTTACTCACAGGAGTTTGTATTCTCTGAATGACTTGCTGCCAAGGGCCATGCTAAATTCTGTATGTAGCCCTGTTCATACAAAGTTGCTAACATTGAACTTACAGCTTCCCAACACAATTTTTGTATCTTACTTCACTTCATTTTCCATTTAACAAATACTGATCTGTTCTTAAATACAAATCTTCTTTCAGAAATCAAAACAAGTATGTTCTGAGATCAGAGTAGGTGATTCCAATCATACAGTCTGGCTATTTAAAGGCCATTTATCATAGGACTTCCATGATGTAACCTATATATCAAACCCGTAAGTTTTGGTTGAGCCTAAATAATTTTCAAAACATCTGAAAGAAAACTGTAAAAAAGTAAATAATTAACTTCATGTTTACCTGCCTTTTCCTTATAAAATTTACAATAAATTCTGCAAACAGTAGCACTTACGATATTCTTGACATTACTTGTATGAAGTTGATGAGTCTAAGTGTTTATGGGATTAAAGATGATTGTAGCAGTCTTCATCTTGTTATCATCTGGTTGTGGAAGTGTTTCTCTCCCCCCCCCCCCCCCCCCCCCGCATGAAGGAAAAAATATTAATTAAAAAAGGGCTTTGAAGCTGATGGGTATTTGTAGTTTTTAGGAAAAATGTGGTAAAGATATATGACAGCGTGTGACAGCTTTGTTGCATATAAATGTTTTTCAGCAATATCAACTTTAAAAAAAAAAAAAAGTGACCAAAGTAATTCTTAAAATACAGTGTACCTTCACAGATTTTCTGTTTCTTGTTTCTGTTCAGGCAGCTGTTAACCTGCAGGTCCTGACAAAAATAAACTTTTGATGAAACCTTAACTAAGAATCACTGTCTTCATATGTCTAGTACGGCTTCAAACAGCTCTTATATTTTACAGTCTCCTCAATTTATCCCTTTTCAGGTCACTATTCATAGGCTTTAGCCTCTAGTATTAGGCTATAGCTTCATTTCACTCCTGTTGTGGGACCTTAATGACTTCCAGTTATTGCCAACCTGTACTGAGATCACGCAGAAAGACAAAATGACCCTTGTTGCTTAGACCTATTTAAACATCACGCAAAGGTGTCTAATGATGCTTTGTGTTTTAAACAGTCTTGCTATTGCCTTGAGAATTGAATTTATGAATTTAAGATGTTAGAATATGACTGTTGTATATAAAATGGAAAATAATAACAAGTTGTCCTTGCAAGTTTTCTTTTTTTTTTTTGTTTCTGGGAATTGCAACATACTTTTAGAAGAGCTAAATCTTGCAGTTTTAATGAGAAGCCTCAAAATTCTTTAAGAACAAGCTTTAAGGAGTAAAGTTCTGCTATTAGGATTTCTAATAACTGGTTTTATGAAACTGCTTTACTTCGAGCAGTATCTAGAACTGTCATTACAATGTCTCACATGATTTGTTCCATGATGCTCTTTACTTTGCTCCGCTTGTCTTTTCTTTGTACTATATTTGGTAAGAGAGCAAGAATGGGATGATGTGTTTGTCTTAAATAATGTACATTTTGGCCTGAAGCACTGAATCCTCCTTTTTCCTCCTCCCCCCCCATTAATGTGCAGAATTTTTGACTGAAAGTCTGAAGAGAACAGTTTAGTCATTGTTAGAAAATGGGACCAGTTGCCCAAAATGCAACTTTTCCTATTTGATATTATATAATTCTATTGGAAATATGTTAACAGCTTTTCATTGGGGTAAGATTTTACAAAACTAAGTTTTGCTGCTAGAACTCTTATTTAATTTCTTTTTTCCTTTCTCTTCTCAAGGTAAGAGAGAAGCAAAAGTAAGAAAATGCTGGGATTAGAACGAGGTGTTGTGGAAGAATGGCTGGGAGAATTCAAGGTGAGCTGAGAAGATGAATGATAGCTGTATCATTGGCTTTATGCCACATAATAAATATCCAATAATTAACATTTTAAATATCTATTACTTGATCTTTCAACTTTTTATAATGTATGTAAATGAGTCACCTGGTACATAATATGCAATGCATAGTTCTAATAGTTTTTTTTTATTGTTTATTATTGTAGAGCAGGAGTTTAAAAAAAATATTAAAGAAAAGTATTTGGCTGGCTTTTTTTCCTATGGTCTGCATAAAATGAATTGTTTTGTCATGAAGAATCTGAAGTATGTTTAAGCTATTTTGCATGTTGATAATTATGCTGAGTGAAATACAAGATAATGCATGAACAAGACGACTGGATTTCATGACTGATATGAAATTAATCTGTTGTTTAAATAAGAATTAGTAATTCCTCACATCATTGATGATACACAATAAATCATTACGTGCTGTTGTTGGAAATTTGTTGAGGAGCCAAGGATGCAAAATCCACAGACGTGGTTGCTTGGTGGGACTTGAGGCTGTCCATGCTTATTGTAGATTATCCACGTTTCTTGAATAATTCAAGTTGATTTGATAAAGACTTTGAAAAGTGCCTGTTAAATACAGAGTATCAAGAAAGAGAGTCCTCGAGTCCTCGTATCAAGCTGGAGCAAATGATTTTATGAAAGATAAATGTGAAACTGCTTTTGGATTTAACCCGAAAGTTGGTATGTGCCCCCAAATGCTATTCATATGGAGAAGAACTGATACTGAATGAACTAGGTTACAAGTCTGAAAATTTACTGAACTTCAGGAATTTTTCTTGATGTTGGGATGAGACTGAATCCTTTTGTGGAGATCTTTAATACTTGGAAGCATTGATTTATCAGAGGAACACTTTTTTTCTTTTTTTTTAGGCATTACCTGAAACACAAATTACCAGCTATGCAGCTACATTGCACCGAAAAAAAACACTGGTACCAGCTCTTTATAAAGTCATTCAAGACCCAAATAATGAGGTAGGAGACTTTAAAAAATATTTTTGTTCACATTCTTATATCTTCCACCTCTACGACTAAAACTAGAGTAATTGAGAAGTGGAGATGGATAGGAAGATTCTTCGATTCTTTTTTCTAATGTAGTCTAACATGGATATCATCCCTCTTTTTACTCTCTTGCTTTTTGAGAGTTACTTTAAATTACTTAACTGACAGTTGCTTACCTTTCTGGTAAGACACAACTTCATCTGCTCCCAAAAATACAGTTTATGATGTTTGCTAGATTTTACTTGCCACAGCTGACTGTTACACTTGATTTGGCATGAGTTTGGTTTTTTTCCCCCCCTAGAAACCACCTTTCAGTCATGACAGAGGCAAAGTAGGCCTTACATTGAAGCTCAGTAAGACCAATGTGCTTCTCGCCTTGTGGCTTATTACAGTGGAAGATGGAGTCAGTTTATTAAATCCTATTAAAATAACCAGATCTTCTTTTGCTTATAGTAGTATCATGTTTGTGTAATTTGGTTTACACTGCTGTAAACAAGAGCAGAAGCAGGGCCCCAAAATATAAATATACACAATGAAAACTTAGCTTACCCTTGTACATAATTCATTTTGCAAATGACGTTAAACTGAGCTTTCTGTTCCATTGGTTACTGCTATGAGTATTTCTGGGAAAGTGTGTGAAATACAACTTCTGAATAATATTGTGCAAGCGTACCATTCTCTACTGTGTAAACTACTTCAGATAAAATGCTTCAAAATATTTGATTTATCATCTGTGATCTCTTGTATATTTAAAAATTAAATGGCAAGTGTACACAGCAAGGAAGTTCTTTATTTTCCTAAGCACAGCTCAGCTGCTTTTGGAAGCTGAATGCTTGATTGAGCTTAAAGGAGATTGCATAATGCTCATGTAATAAAAAAAAAAAAAATGCTTCATAGCTGTCAACTTCATTTCGGTATTACAAATAAGTTGCATAGTGACCTTTTTCTTTGTATTGAAGCTACTGTTACTCTCTCTCCAACCTGAAGCCACCATTGCTGCTGTTGTCTTTTAGTATATATGTATTTGTGTGTGTGTATACTTCTGAAAATGTAAAAGCTTTCCTTTCCTTTAAGAATAAGCATTTGATTTTTTTTTTTAAATGATGCAAAGAACCAGATTTGCGAAAAGAGTATTTTCTTAAGGGTGTGACAATGATCTTACATTATTGCACACTGATGCTTGTCAAATACTATTCTTTGGAACTGCTGTTGCTGTTTGGGCCTGATTATGATATTAGTTATAAGATAAGCAATCGCAGACTCAAAGATGACAAACTTCAGGTTCTGCTTGTTAAGGCAGTATGTATTTCCTTGTTGCATTTCTTCCAAACTTATTTGTGTGTAAGGAGTATAACCATAGTAAATTCATTACTTTGCATAATTCTGTGGTAATCTTTGGCTCTAAGTGAGGGGGTTTTTAAATATGCTTTATAGGGCATTATTTAGTAGAAGGATAACTGATTGCTTATGAAGATAAAGCTTATGTGGTAGACTATCATAAAAATGCCCAACTTAATCATAAAGTTGACCAATTTTTAAAACTTCCTGGAAGGGACAAACTGTTTAGGGCAAACATGAGTTCTTCTAGAATCACATAATTCTATCTTGATAAGACTAGGAGTATTAATGTAACATGAAATCAGCATGTTTAGGAACCAAAACAAACAACCAAGGTGTTTCTCTTTTTTGACAGCTGTCTACCAATTTGAGAGCTATCAAATGAAGGCAAGCATACTGTCAAGTTAAATGCAATTGTTACCGTTTACCTTTTAGGAAATTCCCTGACTTTTTTTAATATGGAGAAGATAATGACTGGAACAGAAAGTTACATAAAGAGTAGAGAGTGATCTTGCTCATAAACAGCTTATTTAACTGAATAATGTATTAATTTTTGCATAATATTTGAATTCTAAATTAAAGTGCTTTTGAAGTACTTTTTTTTTGATTGTTTTATAATTTTTGGAGTTAGTTTATAGTTGTAGACATAAATGCTCTATGGATTTTAAGTTAATGCAGTACTGAAATTTAAACATTGAATATTCATGTGGAGCTATTTAGGTTTAACTTGGAAAGCTCAGCCTTGAAACAAAATAAGATCACCTCTGCGATGCCAAGCACTTCCCAGACCCAGTACTCTTCAAATAATAACTAGTTTCACCCATTATGTTATAGTTAAGCCTAAAATGAGCACATTATTTTCTACCACGATTGAATTCTTCAAAAAGGCAAGCATTTCCAATCTTTGTCATGCATTTTACAATACATTATATTTAACTTAAAGGTATTGCTCTTAAGATCTGGCAAACTTGTAAAATAAGCCAAACTAAAGCTATTCTTCAGCTTCCTTAAAACATGACTAGTCTGCATCTCTGTGAGGTGTAAAAATGAAGTCTGCAAATTATATCATTGTCACTGTATTTAAGCCATTAAAAATTTCGTTTGTAATTGTTTGTTATGCTAATTGCTGTTTATGCTAATTGGAAAGCTCTTTTAATATAAGTTTTTAGTTTGTCGGAAAAGAGATATGGTTATAAGAGACTTTTTACTTTGCATTTTTTGGCTGACTGCTGTGCTACTCAGTTTCCTTTGACTTTGGACTGAAAGATCGTTGGAATTAAAAAAGTGCGTGCCAGTTCATGTATACACCCACTACTGGTAACAAAAGCTCCATTTCCTCTGTTTATCCAGTGTCTTCTCAATATTTACATTCAGAGAATTAATTGGAAGAGGCTGGTTCTCTGAAAAGCCAGATAACTAGGATGCAAGGAAAACATTTGTTCTTTTTTACAGTGTTGAGTTTTGTGTTTGCAGGTGGGAGACGATCATACTGTACTTCGATAGGAAAAACTTGGGTGTTAGCGCCTTTGAAAATTTTTGTGTCGTAGCATCTTTGTGATGCCAGCTTTTTCTTGTGGACTTAAAGCTCTGAACACACCAAAAGTGCTATAGCAGTTGCTACAAACAACTTTCAGGTTTTCACCTGAGTAATTTGCAGTTGTTAAACCTTTTGCACAACTAATATGACAATTACTAGAAATGAGGAGTATTTACATGCTTGCAGCACCAGTGACTGGGTGTTGCTTGTATCTTTCTAGGGAGCGTGGTTTCACTTAAAAGACTAATTCTATAAAATTTTCATTTGAAAGAAAGTAGAATAAACTCAGTAACTGCTCTGGTTGAGTCTCATCTGACTTTAGGTAAAGTAAATTATTCTTTTCCACTGTTTTTAATGGGACTTGGGTTAGACTGGCTAATTTCAAATAGGAAACAGCTTTGGGCTGCTGTCATCTCTAATCTAATAGAAGTATTATTTATAGCAATGCTGCTGTATATATCTGGTTTCTGATAATACTTGTTTAGCTTTTCTTGCACCTGTTATCTCCTTGCAGATATGCTTGTATTTATTGTTTCCAGAGATTTCTTCTTTTTCTCCTTTGTGCTAGCTTTTTGCTCATATTTTCTTTTAAAGAAAACCTACAAATTTATTCGGTGATCTCTGAATTATTTATTAACCACTTTTTTTTTTATTTGAACATCTGAAATGTGCTAGGCCTTTCATAAAACAATAATACAGTTCTGTCTCTGAGGATTTGAACATTTACTGTAACATATGGTTTTATTAATTAGTATCACTTTTATATAGGAGTTTCTACTAAGTAAATATCAAGAAAGAATAGAATATACTTATGAATCTTTTGATTATAAAGGGCTATATACGTATGAAATACTGGAATAAATATACTAGATAAAATAGTATGTGCTCAACTTGACAGAGAAAGCCCTAGCATTGTTTTATTAAAATGATTGCAATAGAAGCTTTATGGGCTTCTAATTTCATTTAGATCCCAAAACAAAAATTAAGTGTTGAGGTATTTTACCTATATGGCTTGTAAAAAATCTGTGTGCTCCAAATTACTGGACTTCTCTCATTCTGTATCAATGTTGTCAGTGTCAGCTTTCTTCCCTCCCTCTCTTGTGGAGTCTCTTTGCTTCTGTTGTAAAAAGAGGCTTTTAGCTTAGAGTAACTAGGCTGTCAATCAGAAGCCTTGTTACACAAGGTATTTATACCAGAGCCTTGTATAAAAGAGATTTGTCTGATAGCAAAGTTTTATTTTACATAGATGTCATGTTATGGCTTATGTAATCAGTGGTTTAAAAATTTTATGCTTCATTGACCAAAATACTGTGTGTTAGAAATGAAAGAAATGTGTTCACCCTTTCTTGGGTGATGCTCTCTTAAGGCAGCTATCTTGATAGAAAATTCTGTCGAATTTATGTTTTGTGTTTGTGATATACTAGAGTAAAATATCTAAGTCTAAATATGTGTATGTGAAGTTGTACAGTCATGCAGATTTATGCCATTGCACATTTATCAAACATTCAAACTAATCACTTGTAGGAATGTCTGTCCCTCTGCTGATAGCAAGGGACTTCTTCAAAGTTTTTTAAGAGGATGGATGGTTCACAACAAACCACAGAAGTACATCTTCATACAGCATAGTAAAAGAGTGACAGTGAATTCTACAGGAAATTCTGGGTACTAAGATGTTTATTGATGAATAAACAAATTAATGAAAGAAGAATGCATTAAGGTCTATGAAACATACTGCTAATGCTCTGAAAATCCTAAGGTGCATATCCCTGGGAGCGAGAGTGTGTACTGGAAGAGGAGTCATATGTACCTTCTCTGATCTTCTGCTTTGCACTGGGTATTTCCTATTTATGCCTTTTTGTCTCACCAGTACAGCTGCTATTGTGTTGGTCAAATGTAGGGGTTTTATCGCTCTAAAAAATGATATGTATAATTTAATGTTTAAAATTTAATATTATCGTGTATGTATATGAGAGCTGTATAAAGCATGTACGGTTAGAAAGAAAACTTATTTGAGATTCTGGCCTCTGTTTTCTGACTCTGTAACTCTTCTATATGAATATAGATGCTTTAGGTTACATGGATGGCTCTATCTTTTTGGACATTGAATCCCATGAGTATTTTCCTTAGGTCAGATCATCCCATTTCTTAGAATGTAATACTTAATACTGGTCACAAACCTTACCAAAATTCCTCTCTGAATTTTTTTTTTCCAGTAGTTTTTGACTTTGGTATTAGTCGTGGGAAAGGGGGAGACAATTTGATGTGTGGTTTGGTTTTTTTGGTGTTTTTTTTTTTTTTCCCCCTGTTCATTAACAGTTCTGTGGATGCATCTTAACTGTTGGTTTGGCATTGTAGACTCTTAAAATGGCAGTGTTTTTCTCGTGCTTATATCACACTGACTTGACAAAGGCCTTGTTTGATTCTTGTACTGAAACCCAAAGGGCAGCTGAAGATGGAAAAATCAGTTTGCATTGTAATGAACAAATGCATGCTTGTTGCATTTGAGACTAAAAAGCTGTAGGTAAGAAATTAATTCCTATTTCTGTCAATAGACTTGTCATTAGCAGCTGTCATTAGCAGCTAATCTTTAACCTTTGTACTTTTATAAACCTTGCAGCTGCACCATTAAAGTTTTATGGTGCACATAGTTCAAGCCACATGTCTGTCACATGCCTTAAATTAGTACCTATATGCAAAATAAATCTCATACTGACAGCCCTAGAGAATAATGTTCTCAAAGTACAAGATGGTAGTGGCTGCAGTAAGGCCACATTTTCCAATACTGCATACCAGTGCCCCTCAGGTCTGTCCTTATAGATCTCCTTAAAAGGAATGCAAGTACCATTTTGGTTCATTCATTCCTTGCCATCAAGGAATGTAATTTTTACTGGCTGCAGTGGCTATATGATATAGCCCCTATATTTGCTATTTCATTCTCCCTTATTAGAGAAGCCTAACTGTAATTCATTAGCCTTTTTGCCTTTCCACAGCTCCTGGAGCCTGTTTGCCACCAGCTCTTTGAACTTTATCGTAGTTCTGAAGTTCGGCTCAAGAGATTCACATTGCAATTTTTGCCAGAGTTGATCTGGGTATACCTGCGTCTTACTGCCAGCAGGGATAGGCAGAGTAATGGTTGCATTGAAGCATTGCTGCTTGGCATTTACAACTTGGTAAGTGAGATGAGTGGGAATGGCTGAGGAAAGCTTTGATCTGAGGTTTTGCGTCATTGACCACTAGGAGTAAAGTAAATTATTGGAACAGCATATTTAAAATTATAATATGCTTACATGAAAGCGTATTTAATCTGGAGAAAAGCATAATGTAATGAAAGTTTAGTAAGAATGTGTTTGCAAAAATATTTTTTATTTTTTATAGGAATCTTTTTGGGACAAACATTTTAACTAAAAAGGATCATTTCATAGGCTTTCTTGAACTGTTATATACTTGCATTTGTAAGGAAATTAAGTAGCCCTCCTTAATGTTGAAAAATACAGCTTTCTATGGAGATGATGGTCAGGCCAATGTGCTTGGTCAATCTTCATGTGTCACTTCCTCTCACCTCCCCGCTTACTCTAAATATGTCTTTTTAAGGGTAATTTGAAGCTGAAACCACTCTGCGTGCTAGCACTTAGATACATGCATGTGTATATTTGAGGTAGATAGTTGTCTTGAGTGGAACTGTGATTTTAAGAATAAGTAAAAGTAACTGTAGATGATTAAGTTTGGCTGTTGGATGTATAAGTAGTTTTTTATAGCCTTACCTTAGCCAGGAAATGTTTACTCTTGTAACATTATGAGGCTGTTTGATAAATTTAGCAATACTGCCACGATAGGCATTCTCTAATGGAAATTTCTGTTTTATAGGACTTTAAAACATGTCATACTGAAACATTGCCCTTCTCTCTTACTATCATAGTAAACTCCTCCTTTAAATTGTGTATTATGTTTCTACATGATGAGACACAGAACAGTCAAATTGCGATTCTTAAAAAAAAAAAAAAAATTTTTTTTTGTTATGTGTCTGTAGATCAGCTCTAACAACTGGAAGATCCAGTTTTTTTAGATTTATTCTGATAGAAAAAATATTGGAAACTGCTTGCTGATTTTTGGTACTGTTAGCTGGGTTGAAGTAGCATGTTGATCTTTGTCGACGGTTTTCTCATAAAGGTCCTTTTGCAGTTCCTTTGAAAGTCATGTTGATGATTCATATTTTTTAAGGACAGTAATGTCTTCATTTTGTCCAGATTCAGGAAGCAAGAGGCCTCAAAATGGACAGTGGCTCCCACTATTTTTTTTTTTCTTTGGTTAAGTTGTTGATATTTTTCTGCACATATACCGAGACTGAAGGAGTGAAGTTATTTTCTCAATTCTTAGGAAGTGGAAGACAAGGACAAATCTTTTGCATTCTGCTAATTTCTATCAACTGTCCTCCCATTGTGATCCTTAAAGCCTTCTACAAGTACTGTGCTACCTTGGACTAAGTTTTCACATAAACTGGAATGACTAGAGCTCATTGTTTGGAAATTTGCTGTACAAAGTGAAAACGCAGGATTTTAGACTCCTTTTTGGTATAGTCTTATGTAACTGCTCTTAGTATATTTGCTTTAAAAACTGCTGGGTTTGCTTATGTAGTAGCCTAGCAACTATAAAATCTGACCAGTTTGAAAGCCTTTTGAGAAAACATTCTGTGTATTTCTTACTGATAGAATGCCTGAAGAAACTTTGCCAGTCCCCTTGATTTCACCTTTTCTCTGTGGTGCATTTATTATGAAGTACTGCCCATTGTCAGCAAGTGACTCATCAGCCCTCATGTGTCTGTATCTTTTGGGCTTAAATTTTAGCCTTGCTCCACTATGCAATTCTATTATAAATAAATGTTACAATGTAAAGGTGGGCTAGAAAAGCTTTTTGTTCTTTTTTGGTTTTGATGAAGTCACACTGATCAAGGAGCCAGTGCTGGTTTTTTAAGTGTTGCAGACTGATTCTGCAGAACAGTCTGTGATAGAGGTCTTTCCCACTTTTTAAATATGTATGTAAATTTGCTGGTATTCTGCAAACACACAGAGACCTTAGGGTGTTAACAGTCTTATCAGCTCAGGACATCTAACTTCTTATTTGTTAAATGCCTTCTAAGATTTTAAAATTATTCCAGGTCCTATCTCCTTACTTCTGTTTGGGTTTTGGTTTTGTTTTTTAATGCAGGAAATTGCTGACAAAGATGGAAACAACAAAGTTTTATCTTTCACCATCCCTTCATTATCTAAACCCTCAATATATCATGAGGTAAGAAAGCTGCTGTGGTAAATTAGAATTGGATCTATTAGAGGAATGAAAACTGGATCCATTTGATGCAACAGGCCATTTTAGATGCATCTTGTTGCAGTAAGTTTTCAATGTTAGTAGCTTGCAATTAGTGTAATCGAATTCAATAGCATTAGTAGAAGAAAAGGAATGTAGATGTTGAAAAATCTTTGCTGATAGTGCCCATTTTGAACAGAGGTTAGTTGTGTTGTAGTTGCAACTGTGGTTTTTTGCCTCTTAAGTGTTGGTATAAAATGAGTCTTCCTTCTAACTCCTCCTTAATACAGTTTGAACTTGGAATCTTTTTCTTTCTCTACTGTTACTGTACAAAAGGTCTACGCAATTAGGATAAACTTACTATAAATGGATATGTAAGAATCAGAGTTGAAAATTGCTCTCACCTGCTCTATTGCTTGTAAGTGTGGAAACTTTATAATAATGAAATTAGGTATTGTTTTTAGATTTACTGTATTCTGGAATAATCTTCATTTTTACAGATCCCAGGACAAGTGTGTCTTTTGGCTTGGGTGGTTAGGAGTTTTAATGCTTTCAGGGACCTTTTACTTATGGCTTTATTTCTCCTCCCTCTTTCCTTTCTCCTCCCACCACCTACTTCTAGCCCTCTACTATTGGATCCATGGCTTTAACTGAAGGAGCTCTATGTCAGCATGATCTCATCAGGGTAGTTTACAGTGATCTTCATCCTCAAAGAGAAACCTTCACAGCACAGAACCGGTAGGTGGATGTATTCTAACGTTAGAGGTGCTTCACTAGGCAGACAACAAATCCTTAAACATTAAGACCAAATATATTATGTGTTCAGTCCTTTCTCAACATTAAGTGCTTGGAAATAAATCTAGAGAACAGTCTTGGTAATCTTGAGGTATAGTATTTTTTGTTGTTAGTTCCAACTTTGTATGTTCCTCTACTAGTTAATTTAGAAGAGAGTAACTTCTCTGTCATTTCTGTGTCAATCAGGAATATCTTTGGGTTTATGTCTGTCAACTCAAATTTTCCTGGAAGTGTGACAAAATTCAGCTTTGGCTCTGAGGCTGTGACTGCTTTTTCCACAGGAAAAGAGGAATGGAGCTGAGTGGATAGACAGAACTAGGGATGAGAGAAATTGCCCTGCTGTTATAGTGACTGCCAGCTTTACCTGTGTCTAAAGCCAGCTCTGGGAAAACTGATAAAATGATTTTGAATGCATTGCAGACTTGTCCATTTCTATACCTTTGTCTGAATATTATGCCATATGCCATTTCCTCCATAGTTCCTGCATATGCTAATGGTTTTCAGTAATAATATTTTTAAGTGTTTAATACTGAACCTTTAATAACCTGTTTCAAGTTAGTGAATTATAATGAAAGAGGATTTCAGGATTTGTGTGTTTACTTCTGACACTTTTTTCCTGTGGGAATTTTTTGAGACTGAGTTGTAGAATTCTTGTGTTAAATTCTGATGAAATATTAAGAATTTAAACCATGCAAGGTTTTGCTCTTGTCTCTTTTCAGGTTTGAGGTGCTGAGCTTTCTTATGCTGTGCTACAATTCTGCTATTGTCTATATGCCTGCCTCTTCTTACCAATCACTTTGTAGGATGGGTTCCAGGTGAGACACTTGCCTTTGAAATAGTCTTGCAGGGTGCATCTAGACTTCTAAATATTCATCCAGAAAAAAAAAAAAAAATTATTTGTTGTGTTTAATAACTTAAAATATGTAACTCTTGGTCAGTCCTGCAACTTAATTGGAAATTTGAAGCTGTACTTGCATACAGATAAAACACATGCATTATCTTACTACTGCATGGGCTTTCATTCTAGTTATGTAACTTTCTGTTATTTGGAAAGGAAAAAAGGCAGTTTGGGGGGAAAATGAGTTGAAGCTACTCAGACTGACTTGCATTTTTTGGATTTACATATCTTTCAGACATTTTTCAGTATGGCCACCTTAAAAATCCTGTGAGGAATATCACCAGTTTCCTCTACTTCCAAATATTAATGTCTTGCTTCTGAGGATGATATATATGAAGTACTTGCACGATGTTCTAGGTTTTAGTGGGTTTTTTGGGTTTTTCTTTGGTTTGGTGTTTTGTGGGTTTTTTTTTCTTTTTTTTTTCTTTTTTCCTTCCTTTCTTTTTTTCCCTGATAATAACATTCCACTTTCACAGTAGTGAATTCTCCGGGTTTTTTTCTTTTTTTTTCTTTTTTCCTTCCTTTCTTTTTTTTCCCTGATAATAACATTCCACTTTCACAGTAGTGAATTCTCCAGATTTCTCAAACTCTTGTACATGCCTTTTATATAACCTTCTACTTGAATGGTCATAGGAGCATCTGTTTGGCAAAGATCCCTGCTTTTTGTTCTGAAAAATCTCAAAGTATAGCTGATATTCCCATATGCCTGTATTTACCAGTATTTTTGTCTAAAATGAGATAAATTCTCTCTCCTGCTACCCCAAAACAGAGGAACCTCTTTAAATGTTTTTTGATTTAGCTTGTTTGCTTCAGCACAATACTGCCATGAAAGAAAAGCATTACATGCAATTCAGTTATGTAGCAAAGAAGGATCAGACTAGCTTCCAACAACATATATTCTGTAGTAACACACACATGCAGTTAAGATTATAGCCTGTTTTCTTTCCTGTGATTTCTGATGGGAATGGGTTAATTCTTGGTATGCTTCCATCATCTTCACTTGAGTTGTGGCTATGCTAAATTTGCCAAATATGTTGAATTTTCCTGCATTTGAAAATTAGATCCGTTCTTGGGGTAGAGAAGAGGGACAACATTTATAGGTTAGGGATTTTTTTTTGTTTTTGAAACAGTGCAGCAGGTATGTATTAGAGGCCATGTGTTGCTTCCATGATGAAGATTCAGATATTAAAGTTATGAATAAATTATTCTGTTTTTTTACGGAGACTCAGTGCTATGCAGTATATGGGAAGGCAGGCCCCTTTTCAAGGGTCAGAAGTATTTCTTTAGAAGGCAGCTGAGAACAATTCTCAAGAATACAGTATCTGTGTTATCCAACTTTAGGTAAAAGGTGATTGCATGCTGTCATCATACATTAGATGGGAGATGACATATACGAAGTTGGTTTCAGTTACTGAATTTTGGGGAGAGTCTCCTACTTGGTGGCTGGCAGTAGAGAACTTCTTGCCACCCTCATTCTGTAGAAGCTGGTTATGATTTGAAGAAAACAGATGGAGTTAATGGCTATATGTGAATAACACTGGATTATCAGCAAGCCACATCTCAAGGCACTGTTATAAAACAGCTTTAATGGTTTGGAGAGCAACATAAGAATGTTCTGTTGTGTACTTACATTTTGAAAAATAAATTTTGAAAATAAATGAAAATCCTTGTGATGTAAAGACATTTGTAGTCCTTGTGGAGTTAACATTTTGTTACAATGGTGTGTTTTTTCAGGCTGTGTGTGAGTGGATTTCCACGGCAGCATGAGAAGCGCTGGAAAGAACACTGTGGCAGAGTGGTGTTAGACCCTGACTTCATGGTGCAGCTGCTCACAGGTGTCTATTACGCCATGTGAGTGAATGGTTTTTTTGTATAAAGAGAAATGTCTGGTTTTACGTGAATTAAAATATAAATGCTGGTTGTTTCATGATTGAAAAAAATAGTTAAACTCATAAAACAAGTTTATAACTCAATTAGTGTATTTCCCATTACTTGCTCGCTCAGCCATAATAATTTCAAAATACCTTTGTCAGCATTGAATTAGGTGATGAAGGGCCAGCAGTAGGTGCTGAAGAGAGTTAGGCTTCTGGCTTCATCTTTTCCCAAGTTTCCACTGCCACCAGATACCTTCTGTTCACAAGCATAATGAGCTTGGATGCCAAGATAACCTGGTGAAATGCAGACCTGTTGAATGTCCGTAGCTTCTGAAGTAGCAAAAATCCATTTCTGATGGAAATTCAGTTCTGCTAAGTAGTGTTAACCTTTACATCTTGACCCCATTTTTTTTATTGTTTAAGTTTGTCCTGATTATGGCATCAACTTTGTCTTGCTTGGAGGTGACAGGGAGCAGCTTTTTTGTTATATCAACATGACTAATAAAACGCTTTGTCTGTACTTCTAAAAGAAGTGAAGGGGCAGGGATGTATATACAGTTGATGAACTTTCTACATAAGCAAAGAAGTGAAGAGCTGGATTTGGGCAGAAAAAAGACAAGATTGAGTTCGTAAGATATGAAAGATAAATATCTTTCTTTACTTTTTAGATATAATGGTCAGTGGGATCTTGGCCAGGAGGTATTGGAGGACATCATTTACAGAGCACAGCTTGAACTCTACTCACAGCCTCTGCTGGTAAGAAACAATCCATTGCAATTTATGGACTTGGTTAAGAGGAGTATGGATGTAATTCTGAAGTGGACTGGTAATGAAAGCATTTGTGGCCATTTACTGCACTCCCAAATGCAAGTGGTTGTTAACAGCCGGTGTTTTCAACATAGCTATTTATACCATGATTTTTCTGCTTGAGTATTAAGCTAGGATATTGGGATCTCCTAGGACTCATTGATACTGAAAGCTAGGATTTTCTAATGTATTACAGTTGGATCAAAATGTTTATGTTGTTTTGGCATAAGCTACCGATGAGTGATTCAAAGATGCTTAACCAAATGGTTCTATGTCATAAGACATTGCTTGCAAAAAAGGTGTTTTCTTTGCTTCTAGACCTTCAGCAGGTCTTAGAATATCCTGTGTGGTTTAACTGATAACACAGTAGAAAAAGCAACAACAGGATAGAGCTGAAAGTGAAAAGGAGCTTCATCTCCAGAGTCAATGTCAGATTTTGATTGATCAGTCACGCAGGTCTTAATCTTTACCTTCTTTAGAGGACCAGCAATAGAATGGAGTTCTGATTGTTTGGCTTTTTCAGTTTCCACTATACTTGCTGTTCTGATCATAAAAAGAGAGACATGAAATGGGGAAAGTGGTGAAACTGGGCTGGATGCAGGTGGATGTGATTGGGGAGGATGAGGAGGCTGACAGAGAGAAAGGAGGAATGGAAGGATTTTATTTTTTGTCAGATGTAGGAATGAGGATCGACATAAGAGGGAAAATTAAGGAGAATAAAGTAAATAGACTATTGTCTCAGTTTCTGCATCAGAATTATGGCTAGAAGCCTTTAGCGCTCCTCTGAACTAACAGCAGTAAAATTTCACTGCTTTTTACATAACGCAGAACGGAGTGGATTGGGAAAAATCATTTTATGTGGCAATCTGAGATCCCTCGCTTCTGCAATAAATGACGTAAAATTAATCTCTTGATGAATTAATATTGGCTGTAAAATTTATCTATGGGCTTTCTGACACTGCTGCATTTTGAATGCTTGGTATCTATTGAATTATTACAGTAGTTGGTTCCTTTTGGAAATGACTCATCGCTCCATCAGATTGAAAGTTTTAAATTAAATATTGAACCTGCTGAATTGGGCCACCCTACCAAACTGCTGCATTTAAAAGATGTGTAGAAGTATCTGGAACTTAATTCAATTGATGATACGACAATTTTCAGTCCTGATTGTTCATTTTTAATCAGTTTGGCCTTAGAGATTACTTCTAATTGTAAGAATCTTCTAGAATGTCTTTGTTTTTTTTCCAAAGCTAGTTTTGCCTCTCCATCCCATTGTCTGGTGTCAGTGATGTCATGACATCACCCATTTTCCCCCCTTCCCCAGTTGTCAGGTTTTTCATGCATATGCGTCCAGGTGCATCTGTAGGGTTTTCTTCTTAATACTCTGATCATTGCCTTGCTTCCTATCTTGTTTTACTGCAATTTTTAAAAAGCAGCTTTAAGAAATTGTCAGTTTTATAAAAAGATGACCTGCATGTCCTTGGCCTCATGCTATATATTCAAACAATTTGACTTTTTGAAAGGTTGGAGTCCTTTCACCTCATTGCATTCTCCAGGAGGTGTGTATAATTTAGCAGCATTATAAAATTTTGTATTTTAAACTTAAAACTACTGGCACCAAGTAGAATGTTGTCTGTGCAGCATCCCAGATAAGTTTCAATTTCAGCTTCTGCCTAGGATTTCCTAACAGCAGCAAGTTCTTTGAAATCCATTTGATATTCAGGCAAACCCCCACATTAGGATTATTTTTAGATATCTGTACTCAAGCTATTTGTGTAATTATGGGAATACCATAAGTCATCATTACAATGAGAAACATCATGGTCCCTGTGTTTGGGTATGTCTCTTGGAGGAATATTTTTGACAATATAGTAGATCCGTGCTCTTACTTAAATAGGTTGATATTTCCTGTGGACTTTAAAAAAAAAAAAAAAAAAAAAAAAAAAAAGGCTGAAATAGCAACATCAGAAAGCTGTGAAATATCTGTAACGTAGAAGTGGTCTTCTTTCACTGTTACCCAGAGACTGCACTGGAAAGGGCAGGAAGTAATACAAGGGAAAGGCTTTTTCTAGGAAAAGAAAAGTATCTCTGTTAACCAACACTGGGTATTGGTTTCATAGTCATGAAAACTGGGAGTTTCTACAGAGGAAAACTAGACACCAAGACTCAGTATTACGACCAAGCTAGCCTGGACCTGGGGAGTAGCTCAGTTCCAGTCAATCAGTCTCTTCCTCTGAACACAAGAGTTCTGTGCTTGTTTCAGACTGAAATTCCTGTCTTCAGTGCAGAGGCGCACAAGCTTTCTTAGCCTGGTATACAAGAAGCATGGATCCGCAAGTCCCTGTTGTGACAGCACCTTTATCCAGTGTATTTTATTGATGTACTTACTGCTTTTGTTGGATGTTCTTTTCATTAGAGCTCCTTTCTGGTAGGCAAGAGTGGATGTGTGGCCTGAAACTAGCCTTCCTTTGTCATTGATAGGTGCAGACTTGGCTTGCCAAATCTGAATTGTGCTGTTTGTTTGTTTTCCTGCCTGTCAGTGCTGGGTTAGACATAGTGAGCAAGTTTTTTTGCATCCTGAAGGATTGCAGTTTTGTTTTTTTCTGTCAGAGAAGGGCTGTGACTCATTCAAACTGTTTGTTTAGATTGTTTCACGGTTTTACTGTTGCATTGATTTTTAGCTCCATATGGTTCTCCTCAGTCCCCAGAAGTACAATTTGTGCTGTTAGAAAGGGCCAGCTGTTAAAAGGTTCAACAAGCAGAAGTGCTCTGTCACTTTTCTGGTCCTGCTGCAGAAGCTTTCTGCTACTAATTTTTAGATTTTAATCCTGTATACTGAGAAAGGTACCTATTCAAAAGAGGGCACAACTCTAGTGAGTAGAAGATGGGAAGGCAAACCATTGTATACTGTTGAACTTGATCTGCTTTGGTTCAGTACAGCAGAAATGAGTTTCCGAAGTCTTTAATGTGATCAAGGACAGGGTGAATGCAGTTTGTACCATTTCAAGAGGATGGCATGGAAAAAGGCCTATGTGTGAATAGGAGAGCAATTCACAAACAAGTGTTGAGACTGAGAAAATCAGCTAGCAATGGGCAAATCAATGTTGGACAAGTGGAAGGCAGAATGATAAGGAGCATTTCTGTGACGGTGCCAATAATCTTTTGTGCTGGTTAGAAGTCAAACAGGAAGGCAGTGGAGAAGATGTTTAATGGGGAGTTACAGGATCACAACAGCAGCTGGAAATCAGGATCAGCTATATGGCAGCCATTCCAGCCCCCCAGGAAGTGAAAAGTCTTTAATTTAGTTAATATTCTGTGATCTGTGGCTTTACTGTTTGAAACAGTTTCATTTCTTCTCATGGTTGCTGGATGGTTTGCCTGTTATAACTTGTAGGAAAGTCACTTTTACTTTATTATAATGCGAATAAACACCTTTAATTCATGGAGCTTTTATGGCATGCCATATGCATTGATATAGTCATTTTATCAAACGTTATCTGAGATCGTCATAAAACAAAGTTCTGCCAATAGGGTCTGTTCCAGTGGTTTAGTAGATTTCTCACAGTTTGTGTTTTTGCGAATGCTAATGAAAGATGACTTAATTAGTTAAGCAGATTTGGTATATGTGGGCCTTGGGTGTTCAAGGAATTTGTTGGATGTCCCTTACATTTCCAAGGCCTCTGGCAACCTCAGAATATCAAGACAACATTGATGAGGTTTAAAAGTGCATTAATTCTGTCACTAGGTTGAGGGGAACATACGAAAATGTTGCTTACAGCATAAAACTAGGAAATGCTTGATTGTAATAATGTGCTAAAGAGTTGATACTACTCCATTAGCTAGCCACAAGTCTTTATACAATAAACAAAATGCCTGTTCTTAGGAAAAGAACATGGTCTAAAAGGAAGAAAAATGTATGTATGCATTGTCAGAAGAGTGGAGTATCTTGCAAAGATGCATATTCTAAAGCAGATCTGTATTTCATTTGAGTGGACAGAACAGTCAACCTTACAGTTTTATCTGTGTCTTAAAATAGGGTTTTACATGCCTTTGCCTTGAGCTAACAAGTAGACTACATGTATTTAAGACATGCAGACCACATGTATTTAAATAAATGTGTTTATCTTGCCATACAGTGATCTCTATTCTCTCAAGTTGCAAAACCAAATTTTTTTGTGATACAAGAGAAAATCCATTAGGAGGCAATATAAAGTTGCTTTTCATAATGCTTCTTGTAAACTGTAGTGGAGAGAATAACCTGCCCAAATTATGGTGGGAACTGTTGCTAGGTAGGATTTTATAGAGATTAGCAAATTACATTTTCCATAGTTGTTTTATTTTAAGTCTAGATGTCTCTGACCCTCTTATTTTATCTACTGACTTCATTAGAGGGGGTGTAAAGAGCATGTAGGAAGTCAGATGTCTGTGAAACGTAAGAGATCTATGAATGAAGTTGTGATGTTAAGTTTAAAATGTGTCTAATATTTTTATTGTTGGTTGGTTTTATAAAGTCGGATTTTGGAAAATCAAGGTGTGTTCACTTTGAATTTTTTTTTATTATTTTTTTTTTTTTAAATTTTAAATCACACTTTGTGTGCAGCAACTTTGTTATTGTTGACTATGGCACGTGTCATAGAGACCCCGCTTGCTTTCCAAGAGCTGGTACACAAGTTCACTTTTTGAACAATTTACTTGTAAACTAGGAAACATTAGCTGATTAAAGTAAACCTCTGATCCCACAAAGGCATTTTATGGAAAATTTAAAGAAGCAGTTAAAACATCAAAGCCAAAAGAGGTCATTTGTTCTCCTCAAAGCTGCAAACAAAACTCTGACTTTATTATAGGCTATTACAATAAAAAACCTAGATCTAATAAAGATGAATGCATTTTAGTGGTTTAATGCTCATTGCTTAGGTTGCAATTTTGTTTTTAAATTTTGCAAGTACCTGCAGTCTAATCCCCTTGGTTAGGTTGGGTTTTGGGGGGTGGTAAGGTATGGGGTGTGGGGGGTGGAAAGTGGCCCTGTCTCCCCCATGCACAAGGCCATATGCTGTTTGCATTGGCTTGGCCTGTGACTTAGTTTTATGACATTCTTGTCATAAAACATAAATGATATTTTCCTTGTCATTTTGCAATCCCTTTTGGATGGAGACCTTCCTGTGTAAGTTGTTACCTCTGTCAGTAGAGGTGGCAAACGTGGAACGAAATAAATTACCTCAAAAAAAAAAAAAAAAAAAAAAAAAAAGGAGAAAATTCAGCTATATTGTTGGGAATAGGTTTGTGGTGAGCTTTTCAATTTAGTTCTCAACTATGAATCTTAGAGATGGGGGCCAACCATCTGGATGGGATCTGGCGTAATTAACAATTCTTGGTTGTTTCCCTTTCTGTATCCAGCAAGAGATCTAATATTGCCATTAGTGCAATCAAGGACAGTAGTAGTACAGCATTTTACTTCTATCTTAGGTTGCAAATGCCATGAAGAACTCACTGCCCTTTGATGCTCCTGATGCATCACAAGAAGGCCAGAAGGTACTGAAAGTAGAAGTTACTCCGACAGTGCCGAGGATTTCTCGGACTGCTATTACAACAGCTTCTATCCGTCGTCATCGCTGGAGAAGAGAAGGTGAGCTTTTTCTGCCAAGAGCAAATACTGTAGCGTACTGTATTCATCATCATCACTGTAATCTGGCTTCTGAGTTTGAATGTTTGCAGAACAGTTGGTTGGGGGTTTTTTTGTTTGTTTGTTTTTGAAAAGTGATACTCCATAACAATGTGTAGTATTTTACATCTTCAGAGCACTGCATGAACATGAACATTTGGGGTGTTTGTTTTGTTTTTGATTGAGTGATAACCCATGAGGTAGGCGAGAAAATGGAGAAGCTGGAAAATGTTCAGTAAGACTTCTTTTTTTCTCCATGTAACACAGCATAAAATTGTAGGGGTAGAGTTTGGCTTAGAATTTGAGTTCTTTCTTTAATCCACACTAAAACTCAACTGCCTCCCATCATAAATAGCTCAGGCCATGAATGGTATTATCCAGACCTTGATAGGGTTCCAGCTACCTAAAGCTACTGAAGGCAGTGGGAGAGGGAAAAGCTGAACGTCGCACTCCTACCACCATATGGCCCAATTTAGAGAGGGGCCATGTCATAAAATAGCTTTGGATAGCTTAGAATTAGTCCTTATTTTTCCTCAGTGAGTACTTACGTCATATGGAAGTGTGCTTGACTGTATGAAGAAAAAAAAATGTAGTCATATTTACCATGATATGATGACATCTTCAGTGTAGGTGTAGCAAAAAGCTTGCTTTGAAATCACTTTGTCATATTTCTAAAGCTTTGTTGCTGCATGTATAAAACATTGATTAAAAAAGCTGCATAAATGGCTGAAGGTAAAAAGTAGAATAACCTAAAAATAAACTGAGGGTAAAAGAGTCTGAAAACATGGATTACATATTTTCCTGTGGTACTCTTTTCTGTATCATGTGCAAAAGGATTTGATGACCTCTGGTCTTCAGCTGAATCAGGATGTCCAGGACAACAAGTAGCTGTCTTCTGTTTTCAGGACTCTGGGTCATGTGTGTCTTCATTGTAGTTGCCATTATATTCATTTGCTAGTCTCTGGTCTACAGTATAGCCCACCTGTCCCTTTCTGTGGATGTTCTCACAACTTTTAACTAAGCATGGGTAGTGTTTTGTGTTTGTTCCATGTCCGCATAAACCTTCTATTTTCCCTGCCTGGGTTGGAATGCCAAGAAAGGAATAGAAAAGCACTAAAATGTTATATGTTGAATCCCAGATGGCTTTGACTTCTCAAACGAGGCTGACTCAAGCATACCTGGCTCACCGATCCAACACGGCTCCACAGACCTAGGGATCAAACGTGAGCAAGAGGGGGAGGTGCTGATGCGCAGGACCCCTGAGCATGGCTTCCCGGAGCCCACCTTGGCAGCAGCCACAACAGAGGGTAGGACAGAGATGAGGAGGCAGAAGTCAGTGAGGCAGTTGCTGGAGGAGGATCCTGGCTCCCTATCCCCAAGCAGAACTTCTTTCCATTCTAGTGTGTGTTTCCGCTATCCCAGGGTGTATTAGCTTCTCTTTGCAAAACACGCATCCCCTATATACCTAACATCAGGTCAGGTACTACCTTTTGTTATCACGTGGGCTGGCCTGGGGCTTGCATCTGTGTGGTGAAAGACTGCTTGGCATGGCAAAAAAAAAAAAAAAGGCAGGGGTAATAGCCTAGAGCTTTGGGATTGCTTGGAAACTTTCTATTACTGAGCATGTTTAATCTAATATTCAGAAGGAAAAAATGCACCAGATGAACATGAATCTAGTCCTGAAAAATAGTACAGAGTATAAATGGATTTGGCTACAACTTAGTTACAGTAGTGTCTTGTTAGTCTGCAGTTTTTAAATTTCCAAGAATGAAGTTTCCTGTTCCCGTTAAAAGTCAAGCCTATCTAAGACAGATATACAACTGCTAAAGTTTTTTATTTGCCAGTCATCCTTTAATTGAAAATTCATACACATACAACTCCTTTACGTGAATGAGCTGGCTGCTCTAAAGACAAGTACCAAAAAAGCGCTTGTGTTTTCAAGAAGAAATCAGGTTGTCATGTTTCTAAGAACTTTAGAAACAATTATTGTTTTCTTTCTTAGTCATACTGTCCACACAAATGCTGTAGGACTTCGTATGTCTGCTCTGCATCCAAGAATAGCAGATAGAGTAGCTGGTAGAATTTGTTTTATTTAAGTTCATCTATTAATTTTCTCATCTTTACTCCATAAAAGACGTGGCTTTGAGTACTGAATCAGAATCATGATTTCTCCTCGGAGATGAGAATTAATTTCTTGTAAAGAAAATTAAAAAATTAAAATTAAAAAATAAGTTTAGCTAAACATATTTTCAAGTGTTCTCCTATGTTAAGTCTTCTTTTCTATCTGAACGTTCCTTTGGTATCTCCAGCCTCTATAAGCATATCAGTTGATCATGAATGAGATTTATTTGCACATTTGGATATGAGCTACATGGTTTCAGATTTGTTCTTCTGGAAACACTAATCTGGAGAATTTGGAGATTTAATGTAGTGTTATCACAGAATCCTTACCCTTAATCAGAGTTGCTATCAAACAATAATTAAGACATCATGCTTCTGTAGAAGATAGTTGCATAAAAATGTTTAGTGCGGGTTTATAATCTACTCCTTGGTGCATAGTGAATTTGAGCATGCTCAGTAAATGAGTCCTGTCTTCTCCTAAATTCACTTGTTCAGTTGGTCTTACACCATTTTACTAAACTTTGCATGTGCATGACCTGAAGGATATGGAGAAGTCCTCAGCTGCAGAGAACCTTCTGGGAGAGACAGGAAGTGGGAAAGAAGTTGATAAAAATGTGGCCTTCTAGTCTTAATTTGTTTTAAGACGTCTATATAATTTGGCATGTTCTTGAATAAGGCATCATTCCACATGCTTTACTTCAATAGAAGTGGGTTGAATACCCTTTACTTCTGTAACATTAGCAATGCATAATTACATGCTGGGGCAAACTGAACTCTGCCAGTTGATAGCATCTGGGAGAAGGCCAAGGAATTAAGTTTGGCTTGATTATCAGTATAGAATTGTGTGTGTGTATATAGTGGTCTATTATTTTACTGATGCTGATTTCACAGAAAGTTTCAGCTAGCAAATTCCCTCTCATAAACATAATTTTGATATCAAACAATGTAATGAGAGACTGATAATTTCTAGTGACTTTTCAACCTTCAGGTATGGGAAGGATAAACAAAATAAAAGTCACTTTAAAAAGCTGTTTAAAACCCCTTCTTCGGATCAGTGTTTTGACCCAGTAAGTAGAAAAAGGCAGAAGATTTCAAGACTGACTCAGTAATGCCTTACAAGGTATTCTGCTTCTGGGTGGTAGCAGCTGTGGTTATGTGCACTATTTTGGGTCAGTGGAGAATGCTGTATCTACATCTACAGGATTAATTATGTACAGGCATAAATAACGAATTCTTTGGGGACAGACTTATTCTGATAGGGAACAGTGAGAGTCCTGAATTGCACTGTAGTACAATTTCTGTCAGGTTGCACTGTCTCTTTCTCTTCTGGCCTTACAATAGCAGAGTGCTTGGGAGGAGTAGGTGTTTAGTTTTTGTTTTCTTTTTTAATTGTCTTATTGGTCTATTGGGGGGGAGGGAGGGGGAAGAAAACTGTGACTTCATCCTGTTTTTCCCCCCAGACAGAGTATGTAAGGACTCAAACATTTTTTGATGGTTTCTGAGGGCAGTTTTTAGAGGAAAAATAACGTGAAAAGAATATGTGTTTGCTGAATTTCTTCAATCCCACTGAGAACTTCTGTAGGTATATGGATCTGACTAGACAGAAATTCTCTTGCACGTTGTCTTCTCTATCTTCTTTATTTTTGAGCACTGCTGAGCTGCTTGGGCCTCTGTATAGTTGCAGGATCCAAAAGCTTGCAACAACCCCTCTCAGTCTTGTCTTTAAATTCTGTGGATAAAATGCCACTTTTTCAGCGTGACTCTTCTGCTTCACTGTCCCTGAATAGGAATGTCTGGTTTAGCATCCTGTTATTCGACAATGTTTTAATGTAAACTTTGAAGATGACTAATGTTCTTGTAATAATAAAAAGTTTAGCAGTATTGTATGGAGATACCTACTTGCAAATTACACATCTTTCGTTTGAGTAAGAAGGGCTTGAGAGGGGACTTCAGCCGCTGCTATTGCTGCTTGTAACCAAACACGCTTTCATCCAGCTTTGCATGATTATATAAAGAAACATAAATGTTGGTTTACTGAAAAAGTGCTCTTGCTTTCAGTATGTTCCAGTTACGTCATATTTTTATTAGCATCTTTTGATTC